CAAAAATGTCACAGCAGAAACGGATTCTGTTTTACAAGTATGCTAATTCAGTCTTCCAGATCCATTGTTTTGTCCTCACAGAAGGCTTAAGTCCCTTGTCCATGGCAAACTGCCTAACGTGTCTACGTGAGAGTCTGAGTCCTGATTCATCATTCATTCATGTACTCATTCATTCATTTATTCAGCATATGAGTGCTTACTGTGTACTAGACACTGGTGAAGTTACTGGGGACAGAGAGCAGGCAACAAAAAAGTCACTGACCCTGTCCTCATGGACCTTAGATTCTAGTTGAAGGAGACAGAAAATGAGTGAATACAAAGTATGTCAGGTACTATAGATGCTATGGAGAAAAATAAAGCAGGGCAAGGCCGATGGGGAATGCTGGTGCTGGTGGCCGGATGGAGATGCTGTTTAATAGGATGGTCAGGGAAGACCTCATTGGTAAGATTCATTTGATCAGAGATTGAGGGGAATGGGGAGCAAGCTATACAAGACATTTGTAGGATGAATATTCCAGGCTAAAGAAGCAGCTGGTGCAAAAACCTAAAGCAGGAACCATCTTGATGTGTTCAAGGAACGGCTTCCAGGAGGTCAGCGCGGCCGGAGCGGAGGGAGTGGTGGGAGGGAGGTAAGAGGTGAGGTCAGAGACACGTGAGAGGGGGTGTTAGGACTTTGGCTATTTGTCTAAGGAGGAAACCACTGGAGGATTTTGAGCTAAGGAGAGACATGATCTGACATCTGTTTGAGAAGCACCGCTCTGGCTGCTATGTTGAGAGTAAACTGAGTAAACTTGTGGGCAGGGGAGAAAAGTGAAGGGTAAAGGGAGCCAGAGCAGAAAGTCCTTCTGTGTTTAGCCCCATGTACTTCTCTATCCTCTTCTTAAAAGCCTGTTTTTGAATCACTTAACTGACTTTTCCTCATAGAAACAGGGTCCAGAGGTCCCTGCATGAAGTGTTCATCCCATCAGAAATGTAAGCAAACAAGACTAGAATTCCTCCTATTCCTGGTTGGAAATCCTCCCACCTGCCATGATACTCATATAAAAAGAAGAGATAACACCCATATCATTGGCCTATACTTAATGGAGAGTCAAAAGCATTTGTGTAGGATCTCATTCCCAGCTCCTAAAATAGGATAAACGGATCTAGATCTGGGGTCTCTCTAGACTCCTAAGGCCCCAGCCACATGCTAGGCTCTGTCTGGCTGACAGCAGAGTACCTCAGCTCATGGGCATGAGTTCCTTTACCAGGAGGGCAGAGACCTGTAGAATTTGATAGGAGAGCAGCAGAAACTTTCCTGTATCCTCAGGAGCCACCCGGGCCAGGCTTCTCTACAATCCCAATTTATCTGTTCATCTAAGAGATGGAGTGGGAAAAGGTCCTCCTAGCCTCCAGTATGTGTTCAAGTAAAATTAATCAGGTGTTTAAAAAAAATTACGGAGTCCTGATTTGAGCTGACAAGGTCAAATGTGTGCTCTAGGTCCAGTTCACCTATAAATGTAGGTGGTTTGGTTGAGATTTATTTGAAAATCTAAAGAATCCCTGTGTTTTTATTTTTACAAGAAACCAGTAATGGCTTGCCTAGTTTCTTCTCTAGTTTCATAGGGAAAAGGAATGAGTTCTGCTAAACTTTTATCTAGGGAAAATGAAGGGTGTAATTTTCTAAGCATTATAGGATACAGCCAGAATATGGAGATCCGTTCTATTGCCTTAGGGAATCCAGATTTTTTCCTTTCTCTCTAGGTAAAAGAGATCTTCAAGAAGTCACCTTTCCTGGTACCAGATGACAGTGTTAGCATCATGGATGGATCCTATGAAGGTAGGAGAGGTGTTGTTATATGTTCCAGCGGGGGAGGGCCAGGGTTAATAAAAGATCTGATTAAAGGAACCAGGAACAGAGATGGAGGGGCTGAAGAAAAAGGAACTAAATAAGGAGAATAAATAAGCAAGGAGAAAGGGGGTAGCAGGAATGGAAGGATGGGGGTAGGGAAATGTGTGATTTAGACATGAAATTTAGAGAGAAAAAAAACAAAGATAGGGCCAGGGAAGAGGGGGAAAATGCTCTGGACGTGATTGTTGTCTTTCTCTCTTTTTTTAGGCATATTAGCTTGGGTTACTGTGAATTTTCTGACAGGTAATACATTCTTAAGTTTATCTAAGATCTTAACTGGGTTTCACACATGATCAGGGAACAAAAATACCTGTTTAATTTTTTCCCCTGTATTATTCTTTCTTTGGTTTTTAAGAAAAAAAAAGTGGTGGGGGAGGAAAGACAGGAACTTAATGTTTATTACCTGCCTTCAAGGCCTCAGCTGCAGCAAGAGTCCTTGTAGTTCAGCATTTGCCTGCAGCGTTTGGGGCTGGGGAACAGTGGAATATTTACAGAATTCCTCCAATATATGACAAAAGCAGGAGAAATCAGAAACAGAGGAGTGTTGGGCTGTCTAGGAAGCAAAGATGTTCAGAGCTGGCTCTCATTCACAGGTCAGCTGCATAGCCACAGCCAGGAGACTGTGGGGACCCTGGACCTGGGGGGGGCCTCCACCCAAATCACATTCCTGCCCCAGTTTGAGGTGAGTCATACACATATGAAGATCTGGTTAGCAACCCACTTGGCAGGTGTATCAGGGTGCTAAGAAAATGGTAGCCCATTTCAGACAGCAGCTCCACCACAAAAAGGCTGAGTAGAATCAATTAATGACTGAGTGAACTTCCCCTCACTGTTCAGAGTTCCTTTGATTCCTTGAGCTTTGTGAGTTTAGCAATTTAATGTCTCCTTCATCTCTGATTTTTTGGGGGGAGGAATGCAGATGGTGGTGATAACATCTTCAGATAATTGCGATCCTGAATAGTTTTTTGCTTTTTCTGATTTGCAGAAAACCCTGGAACAAACCCCTAGAGACTACCTCACTTCCTTTGAGATGTTTAACAGCACTTATAAGCTCTATACACATAGGTGAGGAGGGGGACAAGGGAAAATAATAATACTTCACATTGTATGATTCTCCTAACTTTTCAATTTGCACATCTGTTATTGCATCTGACCAGTCTTACAAAGTCTTTGCCAATCCCTGAAGGCCTGTTAACTGAAACCCAAACCACTTACCAAAGCCCAAGGGACCCAAGAAATTTCTCCAATCTTGGCCTCAAAAGTATATAATTAACAATGATATAGCAAAAAGTAATGTAAGAGTTTTTAAAAGGTAATGTAAAAGTAAAAGATAAATAATATAGGAGTAAAAGCAATGTAAGTCAGGTTTTCTCCAGAAAGGAGATGCTTGGAGAAGGTTCGGCCAAAGCTCTGTATCAGCTCCTTTTAAGCTGACTTTCAGACGTTCAAAATCCAGCCTAGAATTTGATCAGAGTGGGGCTGGGCGGTAAGATAATAAGAGATTTCCTGGGGATGGTTCCCAGGGTGGGACCCTAGGAAGTGTCACTGTCTCTGGCCTTTAAATCATAACAGTGGAAAGTTCTTGCATGGCCTTGATCTGAATTGTGCAGAAGTTACTGCTTGTTGTCCACATGAAATGAATAGGTCACAGAGGGCTCCCTCCCTCCAGAGGGAGACAGAGAAACCATGTTACTTTTGGATGAAGAACCTTTAGGCTGGAGAATTCAGGACCAGCATAAAATTAGTCAATCCTGTATTTTACAGTTACTTGGGATTTGGATTGAAAGCTGCAAGACTAGCAACCTTGGGAGCCCTGGAGACAGAAGGTTCGTCTGGGTACCGGTGCTGGTTGGGTGAGAGTGACACCAGTGCTCAGCTTGCCTTTACCCGTCCTCTGCCGTGATTCTGTGGAGGAAAGGGTTATGCAGAAATAGGAATTAAACATTGTATAATGGGCACAATAATAACAAATTCCTTTTCTACTTAATGGGTTCAGATGTTTGGGTATATATTATTAGCCTTTTACAACATGAAGTCTGTTTGTATAGAGGAACGGTCTGTAGCCAGGAGGCTGAAGTATCTGTAGAAATTCAAGGCTCAGGAGCTTGCTCAAGCCCTTCGTTTTACCTGGGAGGTACAGACAGCAGCAGTCCACTTACAAAGTGAAATAACTGAACAATTCCATTCCTCTCGTCACTGGTGGTAAAAGGGTTAAGAGCTCAGCTTTTGGGGTCAGGCAGAACTAGGGTCAGTTCCAGTCTTTAGATTTGGAGCCAGCTAGCTCACTTTTCTGTGCCCCTTTCCTTACCTTAAAATAAAAGAGATTTTGCATTTAATGTACTTTGTGTGGCGCATGGTTCACAGTAAGGTATTATTGTGATGATAATTGTATGGTATTTCAGAGTTTACATTTTCAAGTGTATTTTCTTTAAATCTCACAACAACCAATGGGAAAAGTAGGACAGTATTTTTTCCTTTTTTTAGAAGGCGGGAACTTATTCCCATTGTAGGTTTTAGATTTCTTTGAGATGTGATGAAAATCATCAACCCTTCTGCCAAATGCACATATGCACAGAAATTTATCTGTAGTTTCAGGGGGTCCACCAACCCCACAGAACCCATCTACAAACCCTGAGTTAAGAATTCCTGCCACCTTGATAATTCCTTTCAACTTTATTGGCTTCTTGCTTGCCTTCCTCTTTTTCTCTCTCCCACCCTTGCCTCTTATTTTGTGGTCTGATTTCTTTCAGGAATCGATGGACACACTTTCCGGAGTGCCTGTCTACCGAGATGGTTGGAAGCAGAGTGGATTTTTGGGGGCGTGAAATACCAGTATGGTGGCAACCAAGAAGGCAAGTGATATTTTTTCACTGGTTGAAGTTACTTTTACAGTACAAGTCTGGAAAAGTCCCATGGGAAACTTTTTCCAGAGCTCAAGGGAGGCTTGTCCTTTTTTTTTTTTTTATGTATAATCATTTTACAATGTTGTGTCAAATTCCAGTGTAGAGCACAATTTTTCAGTCATACACAAACATATATATATTCATTGCCACATTTTTTTTTCTGTGAGCTACCATAAGATCTTGTGTATATTCCCTGTGCTATACAGTATAATCTTGTTTATCTATTCTACAATTTTGAAATCCCATCTACCCCTTCCCACCCTCCGCCCCTGGGAAGCTTGTCTTTTGCAGGAACTAATTCTAATAGATCTTGATACACCCCTGAGGAGTGATGTGAGGTGACTGTGAACAGGCAGCCATCATTCTGCATTCAGCTCTTCCCTTGCCCGTATCGTGGATCCCTTAGAAACCTTTTCTCACCCTAGTCTGATGTATTCAGAGTCCCTGCCCCTCAGCAGGGTGAAACTGTTCTGGGTTCAATTAATGTTTAGCTATTTCAATTATAGTAAAACTGGAAATTAAGATGACAGGAAGAATAATTGATGTTAGGTATTAAGAAAGGCATAGACCTAAACTCACAGAAAGAACTTGATGTTTATAGCGAAGGAAGCAGACGGACCTCTGCCTATCGTTCTCATGAATACTGTGACACGTAGTGCTTGGCAGCAGCTTGAGGTCGGCTGTGGCTGGTTTTGGTGAACACAGTTTAGAGACAGAGTCGCCATAGAGAAGCAGGGTCCTTTCCTCCAGGGTGATGAGGCTGCAGAAGTTTGCCCAGCTCTGTCTGTGAGCCCTTTGTCTTGAGCCTCAGCTCGCCTTGATCCTCCTGCTGTTTCTTCTTTGGCTTCAGCAGCTTGCATCTCACGTTCTCACCTTGTTCCTGTGCACCTTTGCCCCAGCAGGGGCGGTGGGCTTTGAGCCCTGCTACGCTGAAGTGCTGAGGGTGGTACAAGGAAAGCTTCATCAGCCAGATGAGGTCCAGAGAAGCTCCTTCTATGCCTTCTCTTACTATTATGACCGAGCTGTTGACACAGACATGATTGGTAAGTTCACTCCAGGTGTCGTCCAGGGAGGAAACTGGGCAAGCTGTGGTGGGAAAGGGAATGGGACAAAAGGAGTGTTGGACATGCTTTGTTGATTGTGTGTCACCCTAGTTGAGTGACACTAGTCACCTAAGTGAGAGTGAACATGACTGAGAATCTCTGGGGGCTGGAAGATAGCCTAAACAAATATACATGCAGTCTTTTTTTTTTAACATTTTTATGGAGGCATAACTGATACAAAATGCAGATTTAAAGTGTACAAGAGGGGAGGGTATAGCTCAGTGGTAGAATGCATGCTTAACA